AGCGAGTTAATTTTAGAGTGTTTTTGCAATGCGTGGAAGCGCAGCGAAACAAAGGAATTCTAGCAAAATTGAAAATCCTCGAATCAGAAATCCTTTACCTATTGGTCCAAATAAATAGCCATAACTGTGCCGGCCACCTTGACCCGATTCTCTCCATTAGTAAATGCCGGCCGATTATTATAATTTTTTCCGATTTTGCCTTAAAAATGCTCAGTTTCGTCAGCATAATGCAATACAGCATTAGGACGGCTTCAATTTGGAATTACACGAAAAATCAAAATGTGTTGAACGCCCACACGCGGCATTTTTGCCATGTCATGGCATATTTATAAATAACACCGATTGGACAGTCAGACACTTTATGTGCATATTTTCAAAGGAATTGTTATGTAAATTCGAAGGGGGATTAATTGATCAATAATGGCTATCGTAAGTTGTGGATGATTTGAATAATTGACAACTTTTGTTGCCTCAATGCGGACGTATGCATTTTTGGAAGGTGTTAAAATCCCGCCCCATTAATTGCTTGCAGCATAAACCGAGATCAAATCTGGGATAGCAATTAACGCAGAAATGCATCATCAGGCGTCCTAATAGGGAAATCATCTTCAAACAGGATGTATGAACTTTACCAAAAAATCACGACGTCAGATTCAAGGTGAATTTACCAACGATTTATGAAAGAAAACATTCTAGTAATTAAGCAGCGCGGTTTTTTCTTCCTCAGTTTTGTCCATTAATTATACGTTTTATGGATATCATTAATGTTGCGCCGCGATCCGGATGTAGCCGATCGCTTTAGTTAATCGATACATGCGGTTTCCACACTATTGTATGTCGATAATTTCGTGATTTTTCCCGCAAGCTACCAAAGAACGGCCTTTTTCAAATCCAGGAATGAATCATGCGAAATTTGTGCGGTCCTTTAGGCGGTGGGCGTATATTTAACGCAAAAAAACACATTTTAATGTACACCCTTTTCATTGTTGTATAACAGTAACAGATTGGTTAAATCGAGCGCCCACTACAATCAATGGGTGATGAATCGGGGCATACTGCTGGCCAATAGGAGACAAGGATTTTGCGTTCCTACGGTGGTGCCCTTCTCCTAAGGCGTTTCCCAAAGGGCATGGGCAAAGACCCAAGATGGGGAAAACTGGAGCGAAATAACTTTGTGTAAATGAATCGTGGTGTGTGTGTAAGCAAAGCAAAAAATCTGTTTACTGCCAACTTTTCTTCGCGATGTTTCTTGTGGGAATGCGGGTTTTGGTTTTGATCACTTTTTGCTCATTGAAATCGACTACCTTTCCATAGTGTTTGCAAACACTATGGAAAGAGTCGATTTCAATGAGCAAAAAGTGATCAAAACCAAAACCCGCATTCCCACAAGAAACATCGCGAGGAAAAGTAGGTAGTAAACAGATTTGGACCACAAGAAACATTGCGAGGAAGAAGCAAGGGTTTGTTCCGACTAAACTATTGATTCTCTTCACAAACACGCTTCTGGTTGTGCCCTTTGGACTGAAAATGGCACAAACACCGATTGCACAATCGTCAATTTCGCAAAGGTTGCATCTCCATCATATTGTCAATCCCCCATACAATGCGATCGGACACAATCGAGATTAGGCAACGGCTGCAGCAATATTTACATATGTTATTCGTATGGATTTATTTTTCACTAAATGCGTCACATTGACCCATAAATCGACAACAGAGGTCCCATTTAGCGTTCGATGGCACTTAACGGGATGGTTGCGCAGTCGACTTTCACGGGAATGGAAAGCAGAAAAAATCGGGAATCGACGCAAAATCGGCGGATTTCTCTTCAATTCGTTGCGCAACAATTGGCAAAGGTTGCATTTCTTGGGCCTATTTGCTGAATTATTGCTTTTATTATGCGCATTGCCACCCACGCGGTCTTAAGTGCGTTCATTTAGAGAAAACCTTCTGATTTCGGCATTTTAACGAAACTACAGGGGTGATTCAAAATTATAGTATAGGGGCCCACTTAGGGAGTACGAGAAAAATATTCAAACATTTTTTTTTTGAAAATTTCAAGAAGATATTTACAGTTGAAGATCCAATTTCACCTTTGTTATTAAGCATTATTTTGAAAAGGTCCCACGTTTGATTGGTGGCCTATTGGCATACTTAAGCATTCGAAAAGAAAAATTGCTATCTTTTTGTCCAATTACGAACATGTTGGATATTAAAAAAGTGCTCTTCTACAATTTTTCGATGAAAAGTCCAAGCGGCAATGATGTTTTTTGCCATTGACAGATAGTTACAGGTGGATAGCCCTTTTCAATAATAACAATAACTTGTCAAACTGTGACTTATTTAGAAGCTCCTTTCACAAAATGTAAACCAACAGCGAATTTGCGATCAGTTATAGGAAAATGCCACAGTAACATAGCAGAAGCTGTAAGAACTTCCACCAGCAAAGAGCTACACATTAGAGGAGTGGCCAGAAATGGAGGCAGATAGTGGACAATCTATAGGTGCTCGCCTTCCAGACCTAGAGGAAAAGGTATTGGAGATTATTGCAGCTGAGCCTTCCAGGAGTACTTGAAGCATTGCACAACAACTGCAGTTTCTCGAACACCGGAAACGTAATTGTCCCGATAACTCCCCTGAGGAAGGGCCTACATTCCTACCATGTATGTAATATGCACAGGACACTAGAACACATTAAATCTCTGATCTTCCGAGCACC